AGCCCAGCAGGTTGAGGCTGTGGTGGCCGGGAGCGTGCCACTGCACTCCAGTCTGGGCCATGGAGTGAGACTCCAACTCAAAAAAAAAAGCACAATAGTTTATTCACATTCAGGAGAGAATGAATAGTGCCAACACTATGAGCAGCAAGGCATAGGGGGTGGGGAGAGGATGTATTTAAGGTGTTTACCAGGAATCTGGGCTAGAAAAAAAATTCCTACAACTGTATCCTTGGGAGTTAATAGCATAAATCTTGTATCTTGATGTTGTCAGGACAATACATCTTGTGACTTCAGCAGGTGGTGGGCTGGTGGGCATGTGCTACCACGCCCAGCTGATTTTTTGATTTATTGTAGAGATGAGGTCTTGCTGCCCAAACCCGCGGGCTCAGGCAATCCACTCACCTCAGCCTCCCAAAGGCGCGGGATTACAGGCTGAGCCACCGAGCCCGGCTGCTCTTGCTTTTGAAACATTTTTTTTCCTACTACAAGCAATGCAAGTCAGATAGCCTAATAACTTTAAACATAATATCACTACTATTCATTTTTTAGTTATCTACCAAAGAGCAGATGAGGAGTTACCTCCATGCCTGGCAGGACCGGGCACTGAGGACACAGTGATGAACAAGACGGTGAGGTCCTTGCTGTCATGGTGGTCATAGTTCATAGAGTGCCCTGTAACAGTTCCTCCCTGACTTCACTCTTGCTTCAAGAGCTCCCTATCTGCCAGCCAAGGTCTGGACCATCCTGGCTTCATGTCCCTTACCTTCTCACAATACACACTGGGTAAACTGAGTTCCCCATCTTTGGTTCTATGAAAGTTTCAGGCCATCTGGCTCCATCCACTGATTCTTTCCCCATCCAGGCCTCTTTTCTCCTTCCTCTGCCAATATTTGGTGACTCCTGAGTTTGGCCAGGGAGGACAAGGAGCTTGTGAGGTTCCTCAAGCTGAATGTTCCCGTTGAATGTGCATCCTGTACTCTGATTCCTGCCATGGAGTCTAACCCACCCTGTTCTCTGTTGCAGGTCAGAGATGTCGTCATAGCAGCAGGCATCGCAGGAGTGGGCTTGGCAGCCATGGGCCTCATTGGAGTCATGTTCTCAAGAAACAAGCGACAAAAGCAATAAGTGAAAAGGACAGTCCCGTCGTCAATGACTCTATACATTGCAGGGTCTTGTTTTGCTAGAGAGTTTGGCATTTGGTTTCTGGATTCCATTCTGTTTTATAAGGCTTATTTTCACAGAATAAAATAAAGCACAGTATGGGAGGATGTTATTGGGGGAAATGCAGCGAGAACTGCCTGGTGAGAAGTCTGTGGAGGGAACACCCAGACTCAGCTTTATCTTTTCCCACTGCTCGCTGGCCCTGTGTGTGCTCTGTTCAAACTCCTGGGAGAGAATCTGATTGGCTCAGCTCACCAAAGAGCTCAGCCTTCCCATTGGCTCTCTTTGGGCCCAGTAATCTCCACTAGGCCAATCACGTCTGCCTAATGGCAGGTTCACATGGTACAAACCTTGTGTCAGACCTTAGGGGGTTGGGAGTGTAGCTGGCCCCATGACTGACATCTCTGCCCTTAAAGGGAGGGGTGGGGAAAAGATACCACCTTCTGTGGCTGGTCATTTGAGGTCATGCAGCTACAGCTTGCTAGACTTGACATATTCAACTGGCCATTTCTCTGAAGGGGATTTTTCTGAATATTCCACAAAAATACCCCACTGTAGCTGACTGTCTTTCCTTCCATAGGGCAATGCTTCTTTTGTACCTGGATGCAAATGCTTTCTTCCTCAGCCTTGGTTGTCTGGGTACCATCCTGTATGTAGGGGTCCTGGATAGGGTTTAAAAATGGCTCTATGCCAGTTCCTTCTGGTCTGGTCCACATGTGGTACAGGATAGACGCCTGCCTATTCATGTCTCAGTGTTGAGAGAACATCTTCCAGTGCAGTTTGCTTATTGTGTGTGTGTCCCAGTTCTGTTGATGTAGCATCTCATGCCAGTTCTCAAGGTCCTCAAAAACTTAAGGGACACATGTCAGGCTCAAACTGGGTCTTCTGACACTCTACCTCTCACATGGAGTAAGGTGAAGGGGTCTCAGAGTGTAAACCTACAATATATGAGGACAAAAAGACAGAAGAAAAACACAAAAAAGCAAAAAAAAAAAAAACCTCTCAAACAAAAGCCCACCCAGTTCAAGAAAACAATGTCAACATATAATAAAAGAGAAAAAATTGCATTAAAAATTGGCATGTGCCCAGGTGCAGTGTCTCATGTCTGTAATCCCAGCACTTTGGGAGGCAGAAGTGAAGAGATTGCCTGAGTCCTGGGGTTCTAGACCAGATTGGGCAACTTTGTGAGACCTCTTCTCTACAATAAATAAAAAAATTAGCCAGGCACGGTGGCATGTGCCTATAGTTCTAGCTACTTGGAAGGTCAAGGTGGAAGTATCACCTGAGCCCAGGAGGTCGAGACTGTGGTGGCTGTGAGCATGTCACTACACACCAGCTTGGACAACAGAGTGAGACTGATTCAAAAATAAAAATTTAAAAAAATTTTTAAAAAGTGACATGTGTAGAAATAACATAATATGGAGGAACTAATTCCAAAAATATATATATAATCGTCATTAAATATAAGTGAACTAAATCTGCAAACTAAAAAACATTACACTGCATTAAAAAATGAATTCAGCAGCCATAACAAAGGACAAAATTATGAACTTTGCAACAACTTGGATAGATTTAGCATCCATCATACTCAGTGATCTATCACAGAAACAGAGAACTGAATAGCACATGTTCTCACTCATAAGTGGGTCCTGAACTTTTTTTTTTGAGTCGGAGTGTCACTCGGTTGTCCAGACAAGTGCAGTGGCTGCTCCCGGCCACCGCAGCTTCCACCCACTGGGCTCCAGCAATCCTTCCGCCTCAGCCTTCCAAGTAGTCGAAATTACAGGTGCGCTACCACGCCCGGCTCATTTTTGATTTATTGTAGAGATGAGGTCTCGCCAAGTTGCCCAGGCGGGTCTCGAACCCGCAGGCTCAGGCAATCCACTCACTTCAGCCTCCCAAAGGCATGGGATTACAGGCTGAGCCACCGAGCCCGGCTGGGTCCTGAACTTTTATCACAATACTACAAGAGAGGGATTGGCAGTAGTGGGAGACTGCCAAGGGAGGTAGGGGACACATAACATCAGTAAGGGTACCTGATCCTAAACCAGGGGAAGTGAGGCCCAGTGGGAGGCCCAAACTTCTCCTGCATGTAGAACACTTACGTACCTAATCCTGACTTGTACCCCAGATCTTTAAAATAAAATAAAGGGAAAAAATGAATTCAGAGAATACAGTTTTTAGCTGACACTCTCAAAATATAAAACACAGAACCAGCCGCAGTGGTGTGCACCTGTAGTCCCAGCTACTTGGGAGGCTGAGGTGAGAAGATTGCTTGAGCCCAGGAGGGCAAGGCTGCAGTGAGCTATGTTTGTGCCACTCCACTCCAGGCTAAGTGACAAGGTAAGAGATCCTGTCTCTAAAAAAAAATTAAAAGGTTTATTATCACAAAACAAATTGTGGAGTACATTAAACAAGTGACAATAAGAACATCCAAGCCCTTGACTCAGGAGTTTGAGACCACACTGGGCAACATAGCAAGATCCCTGTTTCAAAAACAAAAGTCTTTATACACACACACACACACAAATATTGAAATTAAAAGGATGGCAATTTTACAGGACAACTACTAGTACCTTTAAAATGTCCGTGTTATCAAGGAGAAAAATTGAGGGTAGCTGAGAGCTGTCCTAGATGGAAAGAAATTTAGAGACAAAAGAACTAGATGTGAAAAACATTATAGAAGCTATGTGGGATAATTGAAAAAAACTGAGTATGAATTAGGTATTAAGTGATATTAAGAATTATTCGTTTTACTAAGTGTGACGATGGTATTAGGCTTATGGAAACACATGCCCTATTAAAATAGAAGAAGCAGCCAGGCTTGGTGGCTCAGTTTGTAATCCCGCGCCTTTGGGAGGCTGAGGTGAGTGAATTGCCTGAGCCCGCGGGTTGGAGACCCGCCCGGGCAACTTGGCGAGACCTCATCTCCACAATAAATCAAAAATTAGCTGGGCGCGGTAGCGCGCGCCTGTAGTTCCAGCTACTTGGAAGGTTGAGGCGGAAGGATTACCGGAACCCCCCAGGTCGAGGCTGCGGTGGCCGGGAGCGCAGTCTGGGCGACAGAGCGAGACTCCAACTCAAAAAAACAAAACAAACAATAAAATAAAATAAAATAGAAGAAGATAAAGCAAATATGGCAAAATAATAAGTTTTTATTTGCAGTGGCTGTGTGGTATGTGGGTAGTCTTACAATACTAGATTTTCCAGTGTGTCAAAAAATTTACATACCAAATATCTTTAATAATATCTGGAATTTAAACTTGAAACTTTAATTGAAATAAGACTTTCAAATCTACTTTAATAAATCATATAATACGATTTTAAAACTAGAAGGATGAAAAAATGCTAGGTAAATGCAAATGAGAACTGGTATACTAATAACTAGTATATTGATATCAGAAAATACAGGCTTTAACGCAAGTTATTACTAAAAAAATGAGGGTTGAAAATTCTGATAAATGTTCCAATGCACTAGAAATACATAATAATTTTAAGCCTGTTTGCTTCTAATAATAGTCTCAAAATAGATCATGAAAGTTTTGGTGATTGCAAGGAGAAATTGACATTGTCCATCTGTTGCCAATAACAGACTACAAGAAACTGGGTAATTTACAAGAAATGAAATTGATTTTTTACAGTTTTGGAGGCTGGGAAGGCCAAGATCATGGAAGCACATCGGGGAGGGCCTTCTTGCTGGTGGGGACTCTCTTCAGGGTCCCGAGACTGCGAGGAGGAACATGCTAGCTCAGGTTTCTCCTTCTTTTTATAAAGCCACTGGCCCCACTTCTGCGATAATCCATTAATCTATTAACCCATTAGTCCATGGATTCATTCATTACCCTGGAGCCCTCATGACTCAGTCACCTCTTTGAAGGCCTCACCTTTCAATATTGCCACATTGAGGATTAAGTTTCAACATGAATTTTGGAGGAGACAAACACCATCACAGTGGGGGATCTAAGTATAACTTTCTAAGGAACTGACGAGTCAAGGAAACACAAAAGTCAGTAGAGAGGGAAAAGTTGGGATATTTACCAACAAGCTTATTTAATGAACCCATATAGTATAATTGTGGAATAAAGATTTTTTTCAACTGCACACAAAGGAACACTTATATAAACTGACCATATCTTGGGCCTTAAAGCAAGTCTTAACAAATTTCAGGGGACTAATAGCATATAAATAATCTCCTTTAATCATAATGCAATTAAGTTAGGAATCAATAGCAAAGAGATAGCTAGAAAAACCCTATATTTTCAGGAATCTTAGAATATACTGCGAGATAAATTATGAGCCAAAGAAGAAAACATAATGGAAGTTAGACAATTTTTAGCATTGAATGATAATAAAAATACTAGATATCAATATTTGGATGCTAAAAGGATGCTCAGAAAGAAGTTTGTATAAATATGTTAAGAATGAAAAAATATGTAAATCAATGAGTTAATTTTCCAATTTAAGAAGAGAGAAAAAAACATAAGGAAGAAAGTGCCAAGATATAAGAAAAAAACAAGTGAAGAAAAACAAGAGAATGAAAAAGCACAAGTACATGATTTAGGAATAAAAAAGGGAACATAATTACACATTCTAAGGAGGTTAAAAAAGCAGTAAGAAATACTGATAAATAATTACAAAAATTGGAAAATTTTGATGGAATTAATATATTCCAAGAAAATGTTATCAAAATTGAACTAAGAATAAATTAGAAAGTTGAAGCAGTCTTGTAACCATGAAAGAATTAAATCAGTACTGTAGTTAGAATTTTCCTACAATGACATGGTATACCTAGATGGTTTTATAGGCGAATTTTATCAAACATTCAAGTCACAGATGAATGGGGTCTCTATGGAGAAAATATGAAAGGACATTTAAGAAGACATTGTAAATGGGTAGAGACATATTATACATGGATAGGAATCTCAAAATCACAAGTATATTAATTTCTTCCCACCTTCATCTGTAGATTCAATGTGATTCCAACCTAAATCTCAACAAAATCCTTTTTGGAACTGGCAACCAGATTCTAAAAGATTTATGGAAAAATCAAGAAGTAGTTCATCACCAAGGAAGAACAACAGAGAGGGAGAATTGTGACACCAAATATTGAGGCTTATTATAAATTATT